AAATTAAATAAGAATAATATATATATATATATATATATTCATTAAATAGGAAATATTCCTGAAATGTTTTAATAATTATAAAATATGAATTTGATTAGGATAATATGACTAAATATTAAATTATTAAGAGGAGGTGGACAGTTATGTAAAATGAATTATGAACTGACTTACAGTAGAAAAAAAGTCCCTTCTAAAACTGAAAATCAATGATTTGTTAATCAAACCCTGATGTTTTCATTGCATTTCAGTCTGTATGAAGCTCGACAGGAATCCTGCATCAAAGAAGCAATTAAAATCAACAATAACGATCCATAATATTATGACCCCCGCACAGACATTGATGGTTTCAGGTGTGTGCAATAGCTGCTTTTACACTGATAGCAGGGTGCTCACTTCCTAAACTGACCCAAGGGTGCTGGAAATAGTCGTGACACATGAGGCCGTTCAAAGAAAAGAGCAACCAGCTGTCCGTTACATGTACATATATCATGTAATACATACAAAACACCCTCACAGGAGTCCACAACACTCCTCCTAGTGCCAAGCAGTAATTTGATATTTTTAAATGGCACTCTGCTGTCTATGTGGTGTTGGTGTGAGTAATAAGTGCTTTGGTGGATGGTTTATGGAAAATATTAGTTTAGAGGCTTCCATTCATGTTTCCCTGCTTGAAAGAGTTGGAAAGCTTAGGTGTTACGCTGTTAAAATGTCACGCAACCACGCAGCTCGCAGTGTGATAAATGTTCAATTAAGACTTGTGGATGGCTGAGAAATGCAGATGAAAAGGCATCTAATAATATAAATTAGATGCTCGTGCTACTAAATTAGTAATACTAATTTGTCATTAAAGACCCCATGACATGGCTGTGACATGTTACGAATACGAGGTGATGCATATTAAAGGGTCTGTCCTTTTCTTTTCTTTTTTACACAACCATAAACTAAAAAACATGCTACTGCAAATCATGGTAAAAACGTTCTAACGGCTCAGTGACAGAATGCCTATACAGCAACATACTAGAGATCAGCCTGTGTTTTTTTTTTTTTTTTACCAATTCTGTCATCTCAAGACTGAGTGACTGAAAGATTCAGAGATGACAAACACATGACAGACTTGTGCACCATTTACTGACAGGTCCAAAATTTTCACCCTTTACCCTAGTGTGTGAGCGGCGCAACAGTGTCATTTGTGACTGATGCCAGTTGCTGAGAAGTGAAAGCTAGACAACGACAAGCAGCCATCTATTTCCATGGGACAAAAAGAGAAAACAAACCCTAGTCAGTTCCTAGTCAGTACACACAAAAACTTGTACATACTGGCAAAGAATAAACTCGTTTGATGTCAGAAAGGGCATGTACAGGATGTTTCCCCGCCAGGGTGGGGCTCTGTGGATTCCTCCACCGAATTTATTGGAGGGCATAAACTCAAAAACTAAACAAGAGGCAACCATGGGCATTTTAGGCATTTCATTTTGTGCTCTTGTAACAACAACCTAACTCTTAACACCACTTAACCTGGTCATACATTTAACCATGGGACTTCATTTAAAAACCAATTCACTTTCACATAGCTAAATGGAGTAAATAGAGTTCTACATACTTCAAGTCAAGTGTTTGCCATAATGTCTTATTTAGAAACATTTCAGAATGTTGCTATTTCACAAACAATGACAAACTAATGTTGTCACCTCCTCTTCTTATGTCATGTTTTGTTTTTTTGTTTTTTAAATACCCTATATGCTGGGAATTTAGCCACAATGTTCAAACAGTACCGCAACCTGTTCCAACACCTTCACAACACCATCATGTCCCTTTACAAAGAATTAGCCATTGTGTTTAAAGAGCACCTCCCAGCAGTCCCTTAGACATATCAATGACTTATTGTTCCTGCATTTCTGCAATGGGCAATGGGTAAATGGGCACTTTGCCTTCCTTTGAGAATGCCAAGCGAAGAGCCAAATGTTGTCGGGGTTACACACAAGGCTGAGCTGAGAGTACTGACATTCAAAGCTCAGAGGGAGCGTATTGTGGGAGTAGCAACAGGGAACATGGAAGATGGGTAATTCCCTCCCTGTATTGTGGAAAACTCTGCCTCGTTCCTCATTCCAAAGGTATAAATCACTATCATACTAAATCGTAGATATATTTATTATTTTTTATTAGCATCAAAAGTTATATTTGTGGCAAAGACTAAAAATAAACTAGTAATAAAATATATATAATAATATACACACACACACACACACACACAACACAACTGCACATTGTTCCACATGGGCTGGAGAAAGAGGGGACTGTATTATTCCTCTCAGAAAACGTAAATTTAGTGTATTTGTATATTTAGTCAAAGCCGCAAGGGAATGGAACTCAATCCCATCAACAATTAGAAGAAGGGATTCATATGGTTCTTTTAAGTTTCACCTTTAAAAAAAAGTGCGCACTTTCTACTCAGATCTGTCAATATTAATAAATAATCTTCTGTTTTTAGTTTTTACTTTCTTTGTAATAATTGCTCTTGGTTATTTGCTTTCTCCGGTCACCATCCCTGAGCAGTATTACTGAACAGAAATGTCACTTCAGAAGCACGTCTGTCAACTTTGCAGTGTTAATTTGGTATTAGACATTAAAAGTGTGGTAAAAAAAAAATAATAATAATAATCATACATCCGTAAGATTTAGCTGGATTTTAACTGTTGCTGAGACCAAAAAATGGGCAAATTGGTTTGAACCTGCATGACCATTTCTTTTTAAGTTTAACAACTCAGCAAACACTTATCAGATTTAAGCCCGGATACATAAACATTAAGAGGCTGTTGCTGTCTGATTCTATCACAATGCACACATGGCACATGCTGCTGCACATGATGCTATAGGATGAAATACTGGTTTTAAAGTCTCTTCATGTGTGTAAAAAACATTTGCATGCAAGTTTATTATGACAGGAACTAATGATTGATTTTCAGGCATTAAGTGAATATTTTTGACATTCAAGTTTGTGGAGAATGTGTGATCTCAACAGAAAGTGAAATCTGTTTTGTAGGTCCATGAAGGGACAGAAATCTGATATACCACTAAATGATATCAAGCACTGTGAGAAGCATAGCACATTTGAATAGCCTACTATTTTTTTTCCTCACTCTTATTTTGATTGTTATCGGCAGATCAAGCATGGGGATCTCAATTTAAGTATGATTACAAAATGTAAAAATTGGCAGTCTGTATAATATGCGCCTCAAACACCACATGTATACGGTGCCGGGTTATTTCTATTTGATGTTTATTTTAGCAGAACTTTCTTGCCGTAAAGAAATTCGTTACATCGTGAGACCTGATATCACGCAACACTTCCTGATGCTGCAGCCGGCGGTCCACCGGCTCAAAGTTGCAAGTGTGTTGTTTTTTCCGCTCACAGGCAACAGGGAGGCGAGACGCCCAACATTCAACCCAAAAATAGTCATATAACTATTGCAATAACTCTGAAGCTACTCAGTTGAGGTAAAAAAAAAAACTGCTGCTTTAATGGGGGGTTAACATCTCCCTGTATTAAGCTTTCTTACACAAAACATGTCTTACAAATTTTAAATCAATCAAACGGATTGAAACTCGTGTCCGTGTGAAGACTGCACGCATCACAACAGAACACTGTATCCGCGCCATTGATCGCAGCGGCAACAAGCACTTTGGTCACTTGATTTCAACAGCAACATTTCAGATCGCCTCTTAACAAACGAATAAAATGAATGCTCTACTAGAGTTAACTGGAGATGTTTTATTTGTTTTTGTATTGGTATCCGTGCCGCGAGATGTTTCAATGGGGACATTTCACACCCGCAAATTACACCTATGCTCGTGTCTGATTCCTCGCTCAGTCAGTCTGCCGTTTCCTCTTTCTCTGTTCCTCCGACAGTGCTTTCCAAGCTTTCTGTCACCATTTATCCCGAAAGAAGTCATATAACCATTTCATAACCATTATTGAAACTCCAAAGCTGTTCAGTTAAGCTAAAAAACTGCAGTGTCCCTTTAAACAGCGGAATTCCTAGTGAAAAACTACATTAGCCATGATTCTGCAAAGATATCTCCACCAATCAGAGAATCGAAACAGATCACAAATTGTGCCAAAAGAATGACATATAAATGTCAATGATTCTTGTGATTGTAGTGCTTTCCTTCATTGAAGTCTTATACCTAATAATAATACCTAATAATATTCATAACAACATACCACATAGTAGTCTTTTTGTGACTATTATAGCAAAATCCACTTAAAGAATCTTCGCAATAAAAATTGTTTTCATGTAAAATGCTTTTCTTAATTATTCATTATGTGGTAACCGTTTTATAAGGTCTCTCGTACCTTTTTCACCTGAATTAATTACTTAGGCTACTAACTAAGTAATTAATTACTGTAAGCAATATCACAGACTCATAGCCAATGTTAGCACAGCTGTGATTACATGTGGCAAGAGGTAATGCCTTTTCGGGTGACACTGTAACTATAAACTACATTTGTGCGCTATATTTGTTGTGGATCGTAGGGGGGAAAAATTATAGTAAGAGCTTCAACATTACAAAACGTACAACAGACAATCACTGCAGCCTATTGCTGTCTGTCTCGACACTCACTCGAAAGGCTCTTACCTGACAAGTGCGACCTCTTACAAATACATAAATTCACATTGGAACAAATCAATAAAAGCCGTGTCATTCATAAAAACGAGCACCATGCTTAATACAAAGCGGCCAATAGCATTAAATACCAGTGGAAAATCACGCAATCCCTTTAAGCACTATAGACTCGAGACAATATCACCGCGTTACAGCGCCATATGTAACTTAAGTTAGCTGCACACACGAGTAACAATGTAATAGAAGGGCATTTTTCTATTCCTGAGCGCGTGGTGCTGAAAATATTCCCCGAGTGTCGCGTGAATCTAATCCATTGACAAATTAACGTTACCAACGGTCTGACAGCGCTCAGTAACACAGCTCATTTTACTCACCAAGAAGAAAATGTAGACCTCGGGCGAGGTTTTACGTGCTTTAGTCTATGAGAACGCTTACTTTATAAAGAGAAATTCAGCGCGGAGACTCCTAAAGGCTTCCTTCAGTTGTGGCGACCATGTTTGTCCTGACTGGCTGACTGACTGTTGCTGGTGTGTGGCTGTGCATCCGGGCGCTTGGGGGATCAGGGGGCAGGAGCTTTCCGTTTACGGAGAAAAAACGAAATGAACCATGAACGTGTGGAGACGAACCAACGCAAAGTCATGTCACCTTCAGCTAAAGTATCAACCAAATGTCAGAGGATTCCAGCAAACTGGCGTTTTATTAGGTTTATTATGGGATGTTTAGATATTACCGATAGCCTATGTATCCTTGTGTGTGCACGAGCCACGAGGTCATTGCTTTTTTCTGGGAAAACCTCTAAGGAGGTTTATTATAATGTCTGAATCACGTAACGAGAGGTCGATAATGACTCTCGATTGGAATAAGATTTACACTAGGTATGAATTCTCAATTCGAAATATTATGTTTTATGTTCCGGGCAGGTATTGTCAGGATACGTAGGATACCGTTACGTAACAACAGTCGCGCGTAGCCTACTCAACACATGCGCGCCACACGAGACTGGGAGTCCGACTCCTTTCTGCGAATCGGTTTTGTTTATGATTCGTTTAAAAAATTTAAAAAACTGTTAAAACGATTCAGCAGTTATTTTCATAGGTTATTATTATACTCGGACTAATTGCATAATCACGTGGTACCTACGTTCAACAAATACGTTTTATTAAGGGAGTTCGTTCGTTGTAATTTCAAATGATTCATCTCATATAATAAATTTAGAACCTAAATATATATTTGCATTACATTAAACAGTTTTGAAATTCGACTCTGACTCGGACTGATCATCAATCGACATGATGAGAAGTTCAGAAGAGCAACCACAAGTTCACTGAGTTCATCCTAGACAATGATTTGCATACAACATCTACAAGGTAACATTTAGGAATATAACATTATAACACTTGGTACCAGACGGCGCACCATGTCATTTTGTGCAATGGTTGCTTCAATGTGTTAATTATAGAGGACGCTTTTCTTCATTTTTGATAACTCTATATAACTATATTCTACATACTGTATGTTGGCCGTTTGCATTAAAGTTGATTGCAAAGTTTATTCTTGTATTGCCATTTATCGTTCACATGCATGGCGGTAGCCCATTTAAAAAGATCAAAAATAAAAACTGATCAAAGAAAATGTGACAAAAATGTCACACTTATATAAGAGATCATTTAAGATGCAGTTCGATAATATAAGGACTTGACCGTTTGCATAATTAAATTTAAATGGGATAGTTCACCCAAAAGGAAAATTGTGTCATCATTTACTCACCCTCAAGTTCCAAAACATGTATGAGTTCTTTCTTCTGTTCTTTCTTCTACACAAAAGAAGATATTTTGAAGAATGTTGGTAACCAGACATTGACGATATCGGAAAAACATACCGTAAAAGTCATTGGGTGCAAACTGTCTGAGAGTCAAAATATCTTATTTTGTGTTCAGCAGATTAAAACTATATAGGTTTGGTTTGGAACAACTTGAGGGTGACTAAATGATGACAGAATTATCATTTTTGGGTACTGTATCATTTTGAACTGGCGACCAAATGCCAAATTTGGTGAACAGCGCCCTCTACTGATTCATCCCGACATGCAAATGTGGATTAAGTAAAACGAGAAGTGCTCGTTAAATAAAAAAAAAAAAAAATAAAAAACATTACATTGAATAATTCTCATTTCTACATACAACTAATAACATCCCTCTTGAAGCATATAACAATCTGGTTGCTAGGATTGAACAATGAGGCAGAAAACATTTGACATCCATTCAGTTCAAGATATTCCAGAGTGGGTAGTGGCTGGCAGAGCCAAACAAAGCCCTTCTATGAGAGTTCATCTGAGGATGGGAGTTTTAGTTTTGAGTCTAGTTGCATAATTTAACATAATAGGACAATTAAGTAGCGTAACATGTTTTATACGTTACGCAGTTGGGCTGATGGCCTATAATGCGTGATTTTTACTACACTAGATGGCGGTGGAGCCTCAGAAAGTTCAACACTGCAGTGCAGGCAAATGTGCTAGACAAGGCTGAGATGATGAGAGCTAGATAAAAGCAACTAGTGTGATGATGAATTAAAGAGTGATCGTTGACTTAACTTCACGAGAGCAATAATTGTGAAAGCAAAATGTCAACAAATGAGGCGAGCAGTGCACATTCACTGTAAATCAAGTTACAAAAGTTGATATTTAGTCATACCTTTCAGTCTTCCAATGAAAAAGTAAATACAAAGGATAAAAAGGATGGTGGGTATGGAGGTTCTTACTAATAAATTATATACATTGTAACCATCCAGTTTATGATCACACAAATATAAATTGATAAACAGTGAAATCTTTTTGTTGTTGAGTAAACATGTTCATGCCTTATTATAACATGAGAAAATGCGTTTTTTATAGGCCTATCATTAATCTATCTCTATATTAATTATAACACTGAACTGAATGTGACAATATAAATAAAAAGGGACTATAAAAGAAAACAAAAAGATTCAGGTAAATTTCTACACAAGAATTTAAGGTTAAAAAATAAGAGGGGGGGGGGGGGGGTGATAATAGTGCCAGGTTTGTGAACTTGTGAATAGGTTGTCAAAGAGTTAAACAGCTTGGGACCATAATGATTAATGATGAAGTCCACTTTTAATTTTTTTTTTCTTTTTGTTTTTAACAAGCAACCATGGTGTTAGAAGATAGACTAGGTGGACTATATAGCAATTATATTGCTATGGTATGTAGGGGCAACACCCTAAAATCTGTTCTGTAAGACAACAGTGAAGGGATTTAAGTGCCGAATTGTGATTCTTTAGTAGAATTAACCTATATTCTGTGAAACAAGGTAAGTCATTTAAATTCACTCTGGGATTTGGAAGACAATAGGTGAGCTTATTTGTACTAAATGGCACAACACACGCACAAATCAGGAATGTGAATTATGTCCTGGTCAGAATGGGCAGAGAAGATTCTGATTGGCCGAGGGGGCTGTCAGCATGGAGGTTTAAAGCTTGTGGTCAGATTAGATGAGAGAACCGTGCAAGAAGGACCAAAATAGCAGGAAGGACTCATTTTAAGCTTTGGGAAAATTAATCATGACTCTCACTGAGATTCTCTTCATCTTGACTGGGACATGCACCATCCTGGTTTTTGGATGGAAACTAGTATACCTTCTTATGATGCTTGCTCCGAAGCTCTTCTGTCCTCTTTCTGAATCTTTTTTCACCTCGATGGGGAAATGGGCAGGTGAGATACACCAACAGTTTGACTTTATTTCTTGTATTTTTGTCTTAAGCATGCATTTTTATTTAGATAACAGGTAATTTAGTTTAAATATTATACTTCAAAGATTTTCAAGGGGAAAAAGAGAGAGAAAGATGTCATTTTGAAAAAAAAAATACTTTAATACATTAAATCATGCTTAATAGATAATTAGTTTAAAAGTAAGGTATTAGTTAGCAGTTAGAAGTGTCATGATTTAAGCATTTAAGAAAATACTATGTTTTTGTTGAAAACATGCTGTCGAGAACAGTCAACCGCTGGTTGAGAACAGTCAGAGTGAAGCCAGCACTATCTTGCTTTTGTTCCACTGTTTGACTCCGGAACAATTTTCTCGTCTCACTGTAAATTGTCACTCACAAAATGTCTTCCTTCCCTAAACATGACCTTTATTGTTGGCAAAAAGGGATCCTCTTTATGGCTTTCTTGAAATTATACTATTTAGACAAGCTCAGCAACACAAAACAACAATTGCAGCCACTTTTTCCCAAGCTCCCTTTCCATTCCATTCCAGCACTGAGAGTGGCAGAGAACAAAAGGCAATTAGAACAGTATGTTCTAGGACACTATTTCTCTATTCATTTCTTGATTTTGAATGGTTGCTCCTGTTCATTTTAAAACAAATTAACCTTACTTTTTCTCTCTTTCCACAACTAATTCTTTCACTTTGAGACTTTGAAAAGTTCTGTCTGGTGTGTGTGCATTACATCCCTTCCCAGGGTTGCTGTGTGTGTGTGTGTGTGTGTGTGTGTGTGTGTGTGTATATATATATATATATATATATATATATATATATATATATATATAGATAGATAGATAGATAGATAGATAGATATATATATATATATATATATAGATATAGATATAGATATATATAGATATAACTTACAGTATATATATATATATATATATATAACTTGTTTGAGTTCAGGGCTCCTGCGGGTTATCAAATGGACACTTCCTCGATTTTTCGTCGATTCTAGGTGAGAGATGCCATGGTCTTAAATCGACGTGGTCATCACACATCCCCTGCACCTAACCGCCACCAACAGGTTCCAAGCCTACCTTCCTCTCCGTTGGCACTCGACAATCAAAGCCTGATATTTCTAAAGCTTACGCTTGTGTGCCTCTTCCATCCTCTCTTCCCAGGGTACAATGTTTGGCCTGAGGCTTGTATTGAATGTTTCCTCTGGGAATTTGATTTGCTTCTTAAGGACTGCCCGTATCCTCCAGAAGTTTGCCATGGCCCGGACTCCTTTACTCCTCCTCTCTGTTGCCGTGCTCTCCCCAGACCTAAGGAACTGAGGTGAACAAGGCTGAATGAAACAAGACCATTAAAGAGTAGTTTTTTCTTACCTGCTCCACCCAGACAGCCAGTTGAGTTAATATTTGATTGTGTCTACACCAAAATTTCCCATGCAGCAAACTTGACCTGCATGAGGAGAGGACGTGCTCAAGATTAGCTGGCCTTCTGCAGAGCGTGCAGGCTCTCTGTCAAACGCCATGAAGGTCTGAAGGAGTAAGTCCGACATTAAATATGGAACACAACAGAAACTCTCTTCCATGCTCCAGATGTCCTGCCAGGTCAGAACCCTCTCCTGCACAGACTTAACATGTTTGCCTCATGGACCTCCCTCTGCACCATCCCACGCCAGTCCCTCGGATTCACCCACTGCCAGCTTGCCCTGGTTGAGAAACCTATTGCCTTCTCTGGGCCACTGACCTGATGATGTCAGCATGTTTCTGGCACTCCTCCGCCTTCCTATCCCTTTGCGACCCGTTCTAACCTCAATGTCTGCCTGACGTACTCTTACATCTTTACTGTTTCGCAACATCATAGCCTGCCATGTTTTATACTCCTCCACCACTGACGTTACTGGCAGCTGCAGCTTGCTGCCTGTGCTATACAGGCATATGGAGAACCATGCTGAACTATCTCCTCAAATAGTTAAAATAGTCAAACCTCCCCACAGTAGAGAGAGGTACCTCATAAATGAGCAGTGGCTAGATCAATCTGGGTAGGACCCTATGTTGGTATCCCCCAGGCCTTATACTTGCCAGGCAAGCCGCTCTTCTCCAGGGATGTCATCCAGGTTTCAACTTCCTTAAACATTTCCATCACACTTTGCTCATCATTGAGGTCTACCCTGTACCAATTTCCCAAGGTCTCCACTGACTTTCCTTGGACTGCTGGAATGGTGTCCTCTTTGATCTTAAAGTGAAACCGATTCTGGACGTGTTCCCTTCTCAACACAGAACTTATGGAATTTGCAGGTTTGAACTCCTCCACCCTTGCCCAATTGGCAAGCTCAACAAGTCCTCCAGTGTCCATCTTCCTTTAGGTACTGATCTTACCGTGATGGTCAAGTCATCCATGAATTCTCTGATTGGCACCTGTTGGGTGCCATCTGCCAGTACTGCACCCTTATGTAACTTCTCGGCTGACTTGACTAGGAGATTTATTGCTGCGGAGACCAGAACGACAAAGCTGGTGAAACACATGTTAACCTTACTGAATTATCACAGCATTTATTGAATTATTATAAATGATAATAAATTATAAAACTGAGGCAAGCCAAATTAAGATTAAATGGTTCACATTTACAAAGATTTTTCATTCAAAATATTTATCTTGAGATCTCACTTAGATTGTGAAGCAGGGTACTACTTGTACCTCTTGGACACACAAACAGTGTTGCAAAGAAAGAACAAAAGCATGGGAAACCACTTAAGTAAAAAGGTAATTTTCCCACATAAGAAGACAACACACAGACATTAGTTCAAATCGCTCTAGTCTGCAATAAAAGTATTTGAAGTCATAAATCATTAAATCTTGCATCACTTCCTCTATATTATACACTTGCCCTCCACCTTTTTTCCTTCCACTCCCTTGTACCAACTACAATGTGAACATCTATGATGGTCTAATAGTCAGTGGTGGAGTCGTGGAGAGAAGATGCAGCTCCAGACTTGCAGAGAGACATTTCACACATATGCACCACCCATTCTTCCTCTTTGTTTATTAAATTGGTGGGTACACACAATCTGTCCAAGAACATGCTGTTAAAACACTGACTGCCTATCGTCTGAAGTGTGTTAGATTCTCAGAGGGAGTGATAGTAGATAGATTTTCCCATTCTGCATACACTTGATACAAGAGCTTATTTTCTGTAACAAAAGTTGTAAATTATGTGGTCATGGCTATTTACATTGTAAACTATTTTTTTTCTCAGATTGAATAGGTTGTTGATCACATTTGTTCACAACATAAACTGACACATCAGTGAAGAGAAATAATTATTCTTACCTTTTATGATTTCAAGAATAATACTGAATGTTTCTTGTTTCAGTGGTCACTGGAGGGTCAGATGGAATAGGCAGAGCATATGCAGAAGAGGTAAGCGCCTATGTGAAAACTGTTTCTTAATCTTGTTGTGATCTTGATATTAGATTAGTTCAATAATTAAGTATAAGGATAAAAAGGTAACAGTAAAATGTGTTAATGTTCATCATACATAGACTGCTTATCTTTATAATGAAGAGATCATACACTGACTACACTAATTATTACTTTTAATCTGCAAAGATGCATTAAATTGATCAAAATAAGAGACATTAAAGACATTTATAAAGTAACAAAGTACTTCTATTTCAAATAAATGCTGTCTTTTTAAACTTTCTATTCATCAAAGAAAAATGAAAACATATCATGGTTTCCACTACAGAACATAGAAAATCATATGAAGCAAATTTAGTCTATTTATAAAAACGGCAATCCAGAAGGCAAAAAGCAGTCTAACAACTTCACACATAAGGCAATTCAGGACAAAGAGAAGAAACAAAGGGCTTAAACCAAACCAGACTCGGGTTCAGTTAACTAATGAGTAACCACAGAAACCAACTAGCAACTGGAACAAAGGGAACAGGAACTAAACACGGGAACCAAAGGAATAACAACAAGTGTCCACACATACAACATAACCATTACAAACAATAAGCAGAAATACAGTGTTAAGCAGCACAAATGTTTTCAACATTGATAAGTTTTCAAATTATTTTTGAAGGATCATGAGACACTGAAGTATGGAAGCTTGTTTCCGCCACTGAATAAAAAATAAATAAATAAATGTGACTTTTCATCTCAAAATTGGGAGATATGAAGTCAGAATTTTGAGAAATAAAGTCACAATGGAGATATATAAAGTCAGAATTGCGTGATATAAAGTCAGAATTGCGAGATGTAAAGTCAGAATTGCGTGATATAAAGTCGCAATTCTGAGAAAAAAAGACAGAATTGCGAGATATAAAGTCAGAATTGTGTGATATAAAGTCAGAATTGTGTGTTAAAAAGTCATAATTGCGTGTTATAAAGTCAGAATTGTGTGATATAAAGTCAGAATTGTGTGATATAAAGTCAGAATTGCGTGTTATAAAGTCAGAATTGCGAGATATAAAGTCAGAATTGCGAGATATAAAGTCAGAATTGGGTGATATAGTCGCAATTCTGAGAAAAAAAGACAGAATTGCTTTTTATCTCACAATTCTTCGCAATTCTGACTTTATAACATAATTGGGAGTTTATATTTCGAAGTTCTGACATCTTTTCTCAGAATTGAGATATAAACTCGCAATTGCGACTTCTAAGGGGTCAGGCCAATTCTAAGGGGAAAAAAGACTAACTTTTCCCATCAGAATAGTTTATATCTCACAATTCTGACTTTATATCTCGCATTTCTGACTTTTTAACATACAATTGTGACTTTATATCTCGCAATTCCTACTTTATATCTCGCAATTCTGACTTTAAAACACGCAATTCTGACTTAATGTCTCGCAATTCCTACTTTATATCTCGCAATTCTGACTTTAAAACACGCAATTCTGACTTAATATCTCGCAATTCTTATATCATGCAATTGCAACGTTATATCTCGCAATTCTGACTTTATAACACGCAATTCTGATTTCATATCTCGCAATTGTGAGAAATAAAGTCAGAATTGCGAGATGTAAACTCGCAATTATTTTTTCATTCTGTGGTGGAAACAAGCTTCATACTGAAGTATAATATAATAATAATTATTATTATTAATATAAGTATACATGTGAAGTAGGCCTGTAACCAATCTGGAACAGGAAGTAATCTTTAGTTTAGGTTGCTCCAAATTCTTTGTTTCGATCCCATATTGTATTTAAGCAATATTAAATTACCAGCCTATCCCCTATAGATATATAGTGTAGGCTGTTTCCATAAGACTTTACAATCTTTGTATTTCCTGTCTTTCTTTGCAGCTTTCAAAACTAGGTATGAATGTGATCATCATCAGCAGAAATCAAGAGAAGCTTGACAGAGCAGCCAGAAAGATCGGTGAAGTGTTTACCGTTGAAATTTCAGTTTCTTAACTTTGTCTGTAGTCTTAAAGCTCATTTTCAACCAGCTTTCTTTTCTTGTTCTGACAGAGCTCACTACAGGAGGGAAAGTCAAAGTAATAGCTGCTGACTTCACCAAAGACGATATACATGGACACATTAAAGAAATCATTGAGGGTTTGGATATTGGTATTTTAGGTCAGTAGGTATCAGATATCAATGTGTCAAATTGTGAGCTGGAGTTATATTAAAAACAGTAGCTTTACTGTTACTTTTCCTTAAACACAGTGAACAACGTTGGGATTCTACCGAGCCAAATACCCTGCAAGCTACTTGAAACGTCTAATTTGGAAGAAGTGAGGTCACCTATGGTTCATACAATCATTGTTCATGCAATCATTTATCTTCATAAAAACTAAGGGTTTTCAAATTGTTCCTGCATGGATCCTCCTCAGCCCTATGCATTTTTGATATCTCTTAATGTGGGCATGAAACTTTAGTATATGCTTCTAGTATTGGCTCCCATTAAAGGTGGGTTATAAGTGATATTTGAAAAACTAGGTTTTTCAACACTTTACTTGAAGGGTTGTGCATAAGACTGGCATTACACCTTCATAACCATGACATGTGTCATGAATATGAAATACGGTTTATGCATGTTTACGACAACTGTTCCTCATTTACCTCTCCATATAAGCAGCCCTCTGACTCTCTATCAGTGCGAAGTCTTGTTTTGCCCCGGCGACATTTCTGAGCGTTTCTATACTGATTATCTGGATTGCCCGTGTATCGACCCGTGACTGTTCTAGGACTTTGATTCTCTGTTTGCTGCCTGCCCCGACCCTTGCCTGTCTCTTCTGGATTACGATTGTTGCCGCCTGTCCTGACCTCTGCCTGGTATTGTTTATGCTCTGGATTACCTGCTCTATATTGAATGCTGATCGTTAACTTCTGCCTGTCTGACTATTCTTAATAAATATATACTGCACATGGATCTGCACGCTTCTGACTCTGCTTCGCCAATACAAGATCCAGCAGCCATGCATCATCTAGCTTCAGAACTGTCCACTCAAGCTAATATCCTGGCATCTCACCAACAGCAACTTGTCAAACTGACTACGCTTACCGAACAACTGGTGAAGTCCGTTCAGTTACTCACGCCTCCTTCTGGTGCTGCGGCTATTCCTTCGGCAGAATCAGACCCTTCTCCTTCTGTCGTGGGTAATTCATCCAACAATCCCCGCTTATCTCTCCCTGAGAAATATGATGGATGTCCCTCCAAGTGTAAAGGTTTTTTGCTGCAATGCTCCATTTTCATTAATCAGCAGCCCCAGTTCTACCAAACAGACGAGAGTCGAATTTCGTTTATATGCTCCTTGTTAACCGGCAGAGCTCTAGAATGGGCAACAGCTCTCTGGGAAGGAGGTAATCTATCTTTTACATCTTATCACAGTTTTATGCAACAATTCAAGGAAGTTTTTGAACATCCCGCCGGAGGGAAAGAACCGGGTGAGCTGCTGCTTTCATTACGCCAGGGCGCTTCCTCAGAGGTGGATTACGCTCTCTCCTTCCGCACTCTCGCTGCACAGACGGGCTGGGGTGATGACCCACTCAAGTTGCTATACCGGAAGGGTTTGAATACTGACCTACAAGGGGAACTGGCATGTCGGGATGAAGGAAAATTGCTTCACCAACTTATTGATCTATCCATTCGTCTGGACAACTTAATGCGAGCTCGGCGAGTGCCACAGACACACAGATTCGATGTTCAATCCGCTGTAGGCCCGGAGAACGAACCCATGCAGATCGGTTATACCCGCCTAACACCCGAGGAAAGAGAGAGAAGAAGACGGAATCACCTGTGCCTGTACTGCGGTGAACCTGGCCACATGAGGGCGACCTGTCCCAAGCGACCCATCTCACGAACCTCTACAACGGTGAGTTCCCCTTGCAATTCTTTAAAATTACTGGAACTTGAGGTTACGCTGTGCTTTGGAGATGAGAAGATTAATACCACAGCATTAGTAGATTCAGGAGCGGCAGGAAATTTCATTGACTTATCCTTTGCAAGGACTTACCAACTCTCTCTTCTTCCATGCACATCCCGGATGGCGGTTGCAGCATTAGATGGACGCCCGTTGGGCACCGGCGAGATACAATACATCTCTCAAGAAGTCACGTTACAGACCAGCACCCTTCACTCTGAACGCATCCAACTATATACCATAGACTCTCCACGACATCCCATTATTCTAGGATTACCCTGGTTGGAGAAACACAACCCCGTCATTTCATGGTCTGAGAAACAGATAACCCAGTGGTCCGATGCCTGTAAGGAGGAATGTCTACGTTCTCTCACCAGGGTACCCTCAACTGTCACTCACTCCGAGAGTTTTGATTTAACGAAGATTCCTGCGCAGTACCATGATCTTTCCGTGGCCTTCAGTGAACGCCAAGCAACCAAACTTCCTCCTCACCGCTCCTATGACTGCGCGATTGATCTCATACCCGGCTCCTCTCCTACCCGAGGAAGGATTTTTCCTCTATCTCAACCCGAATCAGAAGCCATGAAGTCCTACATCGAGGAACAGCTATCGAAGGGATTCATCAAACCATCTACTTCTCCTGCTTCAGCTGGATTTTTCTTCGTGAAGAAGAAGGATGGAGGATTACGTCCTTGTATTGATTATCGCAGCCTGAATGAAATCACTGTGAAATTTCGTTACCCATTACCTTTAGTCCCTGCTGCCCTTGAACAACTCCGTACCGCTAAGTATTTCACCAAGCTGGACCTGCGAAATGCCTACAACTTAATCCGGATCAGAGAGGGAGATGAATGGAAGACAGCCTTCTCAACCACTACGGGGCACTATGAATATAACGTGATGCCCTTCGGATTAGCCAATAGTCCCTCTGTATTCCAGTCCTTTGTCAACGAGATCTTCCGAGACATGCTACATCAAAACCTCATTGTTTACATTGACGATATCCTTATCTATTCAGAGACTTTTGAGGATCATGTGAGAGATGTGAGAGCTGTATTACAACGCCTCATTGATAACCAATTGTACGCTAAGTTACCCAAGTGTGAGTTCCATCAGACGCAGATCGCCTTCCTAGGATACATAATCAGTGCTGAGGGAGTCACCATGGACAGTAGTAAGGTAGAAGCAGTGGTAAACTGGCCGCAACCCACCAACGTGAAACAACTGCAACGTTTTCTGGGCTTTGCCAACTTCTATCGTCGATTCATTAGAAACTTCAGCATTATCGCGGCACCACTTACGTCCCTACTGCAGGGAGGTGGACATCAGTTAAAGTGGTCATCCAGAAGCGTTTCGGCATTTCAGCAGTTAAAGGAGAGATTCACCACAGCTCCCATTCTGCACCATCCAGACCCTGAGCGGGAGTTTATCGTGGAGGTAGACGCGTCCGATACAGGCATTGGGGCAATACTGTCACAGCGGCAGGGTAATCCAGCAAAACTTTTTCCTTGTGCTTTCTACTCACGTAAGCTGAATCCTGCAGAGAGAAATTATGACGTGGGTGACCGGGAACTACTGGCTATGAAGGCAGCTTTGGAGGAGTGGCGTCATTGGCTGGAGGGAGCTCATTTACCTTTCACCGTTCTAACTGATCACCGTAACCTTGAGTACATCAAGACCGCCAAGAGACTGAACCCCAGACAGGCCAGGTGGTCCCTCTTCTTTAGTCGATTTGATTTCAAAGTAACCTACCGTCCAGGTTCCAAAAACGGCAAGGCTGACTCTCTTTCACGGCAGTTTGACAGCTCACCCAGTCCTCGCACATCAGAACCCATCCTTCCTTTAACTCTCATCGTTGCTCCTATCCAGTGGGACATTATGACGGAGATTTCGGCTGCACAGCACGAGGAACAATCACCTCCAGAATGTCCTCCAAGTCGTATTTATGTGCCTACCCGTCTGCGTACTCGAGTGTTACAATGGGTGCATAATACTCCCAGGGCCGGTCATCCTGGCATTAGAGCCACCACTCATCTCGTGACGAACCGGTTTTGGTGGCCGACCCTTCAAGCCGATGTAATCTCCTTTGTACACCAATGCAGCGCCTGCAACATCTCTAAATCATCCCATCAGAAGCCTGCCGGATTACTCCAACCACTTCCAGTACCACAACGCCCATGGTCTCATATTGCCATCGATTTCGTTACTGATCTACCCCCATCGCAGAATTTTACCACCATCCTGACGGTGGTCGATCGATTTTCTAAAGCTTGCAGATTTATTCCGTTGGTCAAGCTTCCCACGGCTCTACAGACTGCGGAGGCATTGGTGCAACAGGTGTTCAGGTTGTATGGATTACCCGAGGATATTGTGTCCGATAGGGGGCCCAGTTCACTTCTCGGGTTTGGCAGGCTTTATGTGGGCAATTGAATATCAATGTCAGTTTAACGTCCGGCTATCATCCACAGGCCAACGGACAGGTAGAGAGGCTGAATCAGGAACTTACTCGCTTCTTACGAACCTACTGTCACCAGAATCAGCAAGATTGGAGTCGTTTCCTGGTGTGGGCCGAATACGCCCAGAACTCTCTATGCAAGCCTTCTACGGGTCTGACCCCTTTCCAATGCATACTGGGTTATCAGCTGCCTCTATTCCCCTGGTCTGGGGAACCCACTGATCTACCGGCCATTGATGCCTGGCTACAGAGAAGCGAGGAGACTTGGAATAATGCTCATGTTCATCTTCAACGTGCAGTTCGACGATTCAGAGAACAAGCGGACCGTCATCGGAGGAGGGGGCCCAACTATCAGCCGGGACAGTGGGTCTGGCTTTCATCCAGGGACCTTCGTCTCCATCTTCCCAGCAAGAAGCTGAGTCCTAGGTATGTGGGTCCATTCAAGATTCTCAGACAAATTACACCTGTGTCGTACCGTCTTGCATTACCTTCAACTTACAGTATATCTCCCACCTTCCATGTCTCTTTACTCAAACCCGCCGGAGCTCCGAGTGGAGAGAGGGACCAGGACGAGGCTGCGGAGACGAGCTCCCCTCCCATCATCATCGAGGGCGAGGAGGCTTACCGTGTGAGGGAAATTCTCGACTCAAGACGCCGAGGCAGGGAGTTACAGTATCTGATCGACTGGGAGGGGTATGGTCCTGATGAGAGATCCTGGGTTAAGTCTCAGGATATACTGGACCCCACACTAATCTCCGAGTTCCATCAACAACACCCCACCAGACCTGCTCCAAGACCCCGTGGAAGACCTCGGCGTCGCACGGGTCCTCGCTTCAGGAGCCGCTCGCAGGAGGGGGGCTCTGTCATGAATCGCGCCTCTGTGGCTCTCTTCGCTCAACCCAGAGCTCCGTCTCCTGAGTACTGAACTCCATTTCCCATAAGCCCTGTACCTAGGTCTAATCACCGACACAGGTGTTCCTCATTTACCTCTCCATATAAGCAGCCCTCTGACTCTCTATCAGTGCGAAGTCTTGTTTTGCCCCGGCGACATTTCTGAGCGTTTCTATACTGATTATCTGGATTGCCCGTCTATCGACCCGTGACTGTTCTAGGACTTTGATTCTCTGTTTGCTTATTGTTTATGCTCTGGATTACCTGCTCTATATTGAATGCTGATCGTTAACTTCTGCCTGTCTGACTATTCTTAATAAATATATACTGCACATGGATCTGCACGCTTCTGACTCTGCTTCACACTTTCGCTCAATAATAACATTTTGAATGCAAATATGACAGCCAATGTCAAAACCAACCACCTGACTGTTTAAAGTACTGTTAACCAATAAAGCTATAGGTGGTTTCTTAAGTTTGATAATTAATCTGCTATGTCATGTTTATGACATGTTGTGTTGTCATACTAATGTCAAGTTGTCATATTTGACACAAAGACATAGACAGGTTATGATGTATTGGTTTATGTCCAAGTGTCATCTCAAACAACGTCATATTTGCATTCACAATGTCATAATTGAGCAAATGACACTTAATGACAGTTGTCATAAACATGCAAAAAAAAAAATCCTTCATATTCATAACTAACGTCATGTCATGATTATAAAGGTGTCATATTAGTCTTATGCACACCCCTTCAAGTAAAGTGTTACCAAAAACGCTGTTTGGAAGTTAGTCGGACCGACAAACGAAGAAACAACAACAAACATGGGTAGCCAATCAGTATTAGGCCCCCTAATGCTTGTATGACAGTGGAGGAGATAGGATGAGCAAGAGGCAGATTTAAAGAAAGACTACAGAAATGATCAGACAATACAAAAGAGAAAAGCTCAGAAGAAATCACTGGAAATAAAGGGTTATGAGTGACTGACCAAGAGTTTTAGGACCCTTTCTAGCACTGGAGAGAGCTAAGCAGGAGGTTGCTTTGATTCCGCTTCACACGTGACGTGGGTTTGAGTGTCATTGTTTGTTTGGAGCTGCTGTTCGCAACTAGCAACACACTTGTTTTATAATTACTATTGTGTACTGTACGTTCTTTTTTGGTGCTTCCTTGTCATATGTTCATTATCTGCGCTTTATTTTTTAATGAAGCATTATTTTGTTGCGCCTGTGTCTGCTAATCAGACATCCACCTTTGGATTGTGTGCATTACGGAGACCAGCTCGATAGTCGCGCTGACGACTGCTAGAGAATGTGCTGTTTAGTGTGTTACAATTTCCTGGTTTGTATAGGGGAGGAAAACAACAGTAAATGTATGGTGGTGAAATGAGTGTGCAACAGGATGAACCCACCCGGTCTCCAGAATTGTTTCCCAACAACCCAAATAACCACATAATATTTCATTAAAGTAGTTATTTACAAATTAAGCCAAAGAGGTGTATCAGATTCAGAAGGGGGAATTGCCTAAACAAGTAACATAATCAATCTAACTCCTTATTAACAAAACTACTTAAACTAAAAGAAAAACAAGAGTACAGCAAAATAAGCAAACTCCCTTGCTAACATAAACAGGAGAAAAGGTCAAGTTGTAAAATAAATGGCACCCACCTCCGTACTTACCCCACAAATAAAGAAATAAATGATTAACTAGCAAACTTCAAGTAAACCAAGATAAAAACAGATCAAGCCGAACCATTCAATGAATAATAATTGATATCAACACTAACTCCTGCCTGATCAAAAGTGACTAAAGAGAAAAATCTACTTAAATAGAACACACAAATGAGGTAAAGATACACAACACCAACTACTACTTGCTTCAACACAACATCAAGTCTGGGTTTGAAGATGAGCCCTCAAAGCTGTAGTTTAATGGCGGATCTCAAACCAGAATTTATAGGTGCATACCGCCACCTACTGTACAGGAGTGTGTACTATCAGAGCTTTACATACTTCAGGTCTAAAAAAAATAAATACAAATAAATAAATAATAATATTAATAATAATTGTTAAACGCATACACGTATATACACACACACACACACACACACATATATATATATATATATATAGATGACAATTTCATACTCACTCAAACGCTAAAGGGTACCACGTGTGTTGGATGTCTATGCTTTGGCAAAAGCGCCATACAGTATATGATGCCTTGGGATGAGAACGAGCTCAAATATTCCAACCAAATCCTTTACATTTTCTTTGTTATCACTTAGCACCTTTAAAGTGGGTTGTACCTATCTAGATCCTTTTAGCTTTACCCAATATAGGCCTAAATGATAAATTTGAACATCTTAAATAAAGAGGTAACTCATCGGCTTCTACCAACAACTCATTAGTAGGTGTTGGTTTAACTGCACCAATACTGATTCTTAAGGCTCTGAACTAAATTTTCCAATACAGCTCTGATGATGGTTGCTGTTCAAATACTCTCTTCCCCTCCCATCATCCAATCACAGCAGGGCATTGATTATTGGCATCAGGTGGAAAACATTTCTCCTATGAAGAGAGAGAGAGAGAGAGAGAGAGAGAGAGAGAGGAGAGAGAGAGGGAGAGAGAGAGAGAGAGAGAGAGAGAGAGAGAGAGAGAGAGAGAGAGAGAGAGAGAGAGAGAGAGAGAGAGAGAGAGAGAGAGAGAGAGAGAGAGAGAGCACAGCTTAGGCACAAAAACAAAACCTTATGGCTCTGGATATGCCGGTGTTGTGCCGAATTTCGACCCCCGCCAAATTATTACCCCCCTAGTATTGGTAGGTGTAAGATTAGGGGTGGGGTTAGGATTAGGCAATCAGGTACTGACTTCAACGAGGGGGGTAATCATTTGGCAGGGGGTCGAAATTCGGCACAACACCGGCAATCAGGGATTGAGACCGACGCGGTAAGGATTGAAGCGAGGGATGTGTTTGTTTGGGTTGATTTCAAATACCAACAATGTCCAACAGCGTTTTTGAAATATCGCTTACCCCACCTTTAACAATAGTAGTAGTAATTATTTTAGATATTGGAAATTGAAAAATGCTCTGTAAAACTACATGGAAGCATGTTTTTATTTTATTTATTTATTTATTTATTTATTTTTTATAAAATATCACAAATGAAATATAGTACGATAGTTGTATGGTAGGCCTATTACAAAATATTTATCAGAAACTGTTGTTTATATGTTTCATGTGGTGGCCTCTAGAGAATACATGCTGTTATCAACTGCAATGTAAAAGCCATGGTTAAGGTGAGTAAATGCTAACAGAAATGCACACTATGAATATTGTTGGCTCTGTGAAGAGATACTTATTTTACTCTATTTTAAAAGTGTCTGCTAAATGCACACATGTATAGATAAGGAATAATAGATAAGGAAGTCAACTGGTGGGTCGCAGTGGTCACATACAAAATGGAGTCACAGCTCTGACAAGGTTGCAGAAAACAAGGAAAAAATGCAATTAATTATATGCAACAAATTATATAATTGTGCATAGTTAGCAAAAATCACCCATCAATCATCACCTATTTTTCATCGAAGTCCACCAGAAAAATTGTAAATTCTCAGCATAAAATGAAAGTTGGAAGTTACAATAGTCTTTTAGCAGCAAGATGGACAAAGGCAGTTTAGTTGGTAAACAGGAACAGAGCCAACTACACTGCCAAGGGCAAGTACATTCTCCTGGTACGCACTTGCAATTAAAGGATGTATTACATCTTGTCCTGTGTTTCCTGAAAACTTCTTCCCTATTGTGACATACATCTGAGTGAAATGGCTTCTAGAACAAGAAAAAATTAGGAAATTATTAGATGGTTGTGGTTTGCTATTGCAGTGATCTGATGTGAGTAACAGGTTGTCCCATCCTCACACCAGTAAACATGTCATCAGAGAAGAGAAGAGAAGAGATGATGCTGCAAGAGCATGGGGAAGTTATTTTGATGATGGGCACATGAAAAAAAATGGTGTATTCAAATAAATCATTTGTAGTAATAGAATTGTCCATTTCACTGTGTTTTTAAAGGGTAAGTTCACCCAAAAAATGAAAAATATGTCATTAATGGCAAAGCCCGTAAGACCTTTGTTTATCTTTGGAACACAGTTATTTTAGATTTAGTCCGAGAGCTTTCTGTCCCTCCATTGAAAATGTATGTACGGTATACTGTCCTTGTCCAGAAAGGAAATAAAGACATCATCAAAGTAGTCCATGTGACTTCAGTGGGTTAGTTAGAATGTTTTTAAGCATTGTAAAATACATTTTGGTCCAAAAATAACAAAAACTACGACATTATTCAGCATTGTATTGTCTTACGGTTCTGTTGTCAATCAATTACAGCGTGCGTCTCCCTCAGACTGTAAATGAAGCTCGGGTGTACCAGATAACACGTCAGCAGCGTTTTACGTCATCAGCATCGCTGAACGCGGCTTGACAACAGAATTGGAAGAGAATACAATGCTGAATAAAGTCGTAGTTTTTGTTACTTTTGGACCAAAATGTTTTTTTTTCGATGCTTCAAAACATTCATCCGAAGATGAATGGAGGTCTTATGGACTTGGAACGACATGAGTGTGAGTCATGAATGACACAATTTTCATTTTTGGGTGAACTAACTCTTTAAATTATTAATTATTTAAGTATTAAAGGGTTAGTTTTAAGGGTAAACTTTTGCATTGGATATATATGTAACATTTTAGTTTTTGAATTATTATTATTTAATTTTTTTGGTTAAAAATTTGGCTAAATAATACGCTTTACGTCTCACGTAAAATCCTAAAAGCCAGTTGAGAACCATTGGTTCAGTGCGAAAGAGATTGATTTAATAGAATGCACTAACATTTTTTTCCATATTTAGATGTGCAGAATTGTCCTACCAGGAATGCAGCAAAGGTTTGGCCTTCTCTGTTGACTAGTGTTCTCGTAATTTTCCACACATATTTTGTTGATCACCTTTAGAACTCTGTTGACTGTAAGTAATGTTGTACCTACATGTAAACTAACAGAATATTAGTAGACTCTTAGATGGGTTTTAAGAATAAGGGGTTAGGGTTAGTAGGATAAGTTGACGTGTTAGTAAAATGTCTGTTGGGGTCCATCAAAATAAACTGTTAACAGATATTAAGCAGAGTCTAGTTATATTCTAATGTGAGTTAGTGGACATGTAAGTGCAATGTTACTTATTAGTAAAAAGAAATGTCGAAAAGGATCTCGAAAAAAATAAAAATGCCATTTTAATATATGACAAGCACACTGACAATAAGTATTTCCTTAGAGGAAAAGGAGTCATTCTGAATGTGTCTTCTGGAATAGCCAAAATACCCTGCCCTCTTTACACTTTGTACTCAGCATCAAAGGTAAAAACATCTACACAAAGTTGAAAAGCACTGTATTAGCAATGTCAACATCTCAAATCCATAATATATATTCAATATATATCTTTTCAGGTTTTTGTGGAGAGATTTTCACAGGGTCTTCAAGCTGAATATAAATCCAAGGGAATTATTATTCAGGTAGAATAAAAAACGTTACTGTAAAAAATATTTTCAAGATTTGTTATCACAACATATTTTCTTTTGTCAAATCAACTTTATAATAATTTATTTAGTTGAGATAACTTGTTATTTTGAGTTTCTGATGATTAAATTAATCTCCTTCATTCTATTAACTCACTTTTTCCAGTTCAATCAACTTAAAATTTGAAGGCAACCCAGGTTACTTACTTTTTTAAGTTAAACCAACAATATTTTTTTACAGTTTAGTAATCACAACATTTTTTCTTTTGTCAAATACACTTAAATAATTCATTTAGTTCAGATAACATATAATTTTGAGTTTCTGATGATTAAATCATTCTCCTTCATTGTATTAACTCACTTTTTCCAGTTCAATGAACTTTTTTTTAAAGTTAAACCATCAATATTTTTTTTACAGTGTACTAACCACACAACGGTTAAATAATGTGGTTTTTGCGTGTGTATATGAAATTTACATATCTGCTAACCAGAAGTAAGATATCAATGTCTTCATTCCCTAAAGTATTTTTTTTTTTTCTCAGACAGTGGCTCCTTTTGGGGTTTCAACGTCAATGACGGGACATCAGAAGCCAGATATGGTTACATTCACAGCTGAGGAGTTTGTGAGGAGCTCATTGAAGTATCTGAGGGCTGGTGACCAAACATATGGCAGTGTCACTCATACCATATTGGTAATGACCTCTGTTTATTAATATCGTTAAAGTGCACTTTTATGGAACCTTTCCATTGCACAAAAGGTTATTTATTTATGGTGGGAAAATGTTGTTTAGATTATGTTCTTCAAGAAAAAATCATTCAAGAACTGTTCACTGAAAGGTTCTCTGTGAAAACCCCCTTTTTTAAAGTGTGTGTGATGATTTCTGAGCATGTATTGTTTCTGACCAACGTGTAATTCTCCTAATTCTAGGGCGGGATTGTGCAGTCCATTCCCACCTGGGTCCTGCACAATGAAGCGTTTCAGCATCATTTTAAGGAATATGTGAAGGAAAGGGTCGAAAGCTGAGTTGAGTTGTCATTCTCAAAGTATAGAGTAAATAGTATTGAACATTTAAACACTACAACTGTTGTGTTTGTTTGCACTAATTATGACAATACAGAATGCAAAAATAAAAGACTGTAAAAGAAAGTGTGAGGACGAAACAACTGACAGGCCACGGTCTTTCAAAATATGCCATATCAGTGTTGATAATGGGATGTAATAATTATTAATCATAATCATATCAGTAGACAGGAGATAGTTGAGCAGAACCGACCTTGATAACAAGGTCAGTTTCACAAAGGCCGAATGACAGTCGAAGAGATGTGACCTTGTTATTTTTTTGTCTATATTTTAAGATTAGAAAATGTTTGGTCTTATTTAAAGAGCAAAATCATGTTTTCATTTGAAACATCCAGTGTTTTTGGCGCCACATAGTGGTTAAATGCACTTTCACATGATTTTTAAAGCTTCAGGATGATGTATTTTTTCTCATTATCCCATTATTTTGATGTTTATGTGACTAATCAATCTGTAGCTGCAATGATGCACAAGAACGCACATTTTTTTATTTTATTTATATTGATATAAATGTTAACATATCTTAGAACAATTTTAAGAACAGTTAAAAGTCTGCAGATATGAGTTGACAAATTTGACCAAATTCTTCATTTAACACAAGCATTACACACTTCACAACGCCACACTCTACATTCTTATAGATCTTGCTGTAAAGTAACTGCAGTAATTACTTTATATCTCATTTAACTTTAAAAAAGAGCCATTAGTTTTGTTTCTGACTCTGATGTGGCCAGCAGAGGGCGTATTTTTGATACTGCAACCTGAAGCGCGTCACGTGTAGTGTATGGATTCAGATTTCAAAGATCTCTTGAAGATGCTGAGCAGTTAAAGGACACAAACAAGTGCAGTTGGGGGATTTCCATTTGAGATGTAGCTGTTAATAAAGCTGTTCACCCTTAAGCGTGCTGTCCTGATTGAAATACAGCTGACAGGATAACAAGTTTCCGCTCATATTAAAGAGGTTTGTGTTTTTACTACAGGGAACTTCCACTGATAATTTATAATGATACTGCCTGTAGCAGAAAATAAATTTATGTGGAACATGACTAAGTAATTAAAATAAAAAAAAACACTGGGAAATGTATTGTTCATCATGTCTAAGCTATGCTTGCATCAGTGATTTCTGAAAATGTCACGTTTTTTAAAAAAAAAAAAAACAAGCTTCCAAGTTGCAGATAAGCAAAATAAAAGTTAGAAATTAAAACCCCAAATCTAGTCACTTTCTCTAAAGTGACGTTTTGGGAAAAAACACCGGCGACGTGGGATTAGATGAGCAAGAAATTATTCATACACACACGACTGTTTAAAGAACAAAAACCTGACAAATGTCTTGAAATACATCATCTGAACAATGTTTTGAGGTGTGATATTCGGAAAATAATTGACTCTGCGTCGTTGAATTATAGAAAAATAATGCGCACCCGAGGCGCAGGGTGTGAATTATTGTTCAATAATTCAATGGCCCATGGTCAATTATAGCTACTGTATGCCTGCGTTCAGTTAAAACAGCTCAATAATGCATTTTAGTCTGGGACTAGGCTTGAGACTTGTCTGTGAAACCGGGGGATTCGTGTTATAAAATTGTACATGTTTTGTTTACTAAATTTAACAGCTGCATGTAGTCATGAGCCAAAGAATTGTTTTCATGTTGGAAATGTTCTGCTGAAATAAACAAGCACAATGTTTTATGTTTATATCAGCAAGAAGAACATGAAAGTGAGAGGACTGTTTTGTCATCACTCAACATCTTACTGCAGTCTCAATAAGCTTTCTTGTGTGGTCCAGCTTCAAGGGCTTCGAGTCCTAACACACATAAACAGCAGGCAGATGTAGGACGACTGACTGTTTACCAAGCTCTCCATTCTCTAAACAACAGATGAAATGACACTGAACTCTGGCAATCAAACAGAGAATCTGCCTCATTCCCCAACAGCTAAAAAAAAAAAAAAAAAAAAAAAAAATCCCATTTGTCAGTGCCTGGGACAGACCTAACATCCACATGTTGTAACCTAGTTCCTCTTTAATCTCTATTTGTGTCATTTTACCCGTCTTTGCTGTCAAATTTTTTAGTGTTTATCATGACAAGATCTAAAAACATCATTAATAACACAATGTGGGAAGTGGGATCAGCCATGTTTGTTTGCTTCAGTATGTAGTGAAACACTTCAAATTAGGTCAAGGAAAGGAGCATGTGGGAACTCTTTCAGGGGTCAGACCTTCATTCCAAGTGGGAGTTTATTGTTATACTACATTCTCCAATGGTTTTGTGAGGTGTGATATTCAATAAGTTACTCATGTTACACTTAGTGGAAGAAAACCAATGCAGCTGATGCCTGAGGGCACGCCTTAACGATGGTGGACTCGTCGTCATGGCAAGCACAGCTGTAATTTCCTAATAAAATTAAGTAGGGGGATTTTTGTGGACCGGCTGAAAGTGTTAAATCAGTTCTGAAGAATAAGTGTTCACTTGGAGGACCGACGGTGGTGGTTCAATCAACACTTTTCCTCATCAGTAGGGTGACATGCAAGCGAAAGCTAACCCTTTCCTCCATCTGAACAGAGTTTGGGCTATTTTGCACATTTTCAGAAATCAAATCAAAATGTCTGTTAAAACGACATTATAAAATAAGCAAAGTAAATCAGAGTCAGCAGACCGATCTCATACGTGACTTCAGTATTGGTTCTAGTATCAGGAAAAACAAACAGCTTGTTCTATACCTGCCCCGGACTGAACTGCAGTGCTGATGGAGGTGCTACTAAAACAAGCAAATCTCCCGTGATTTCTGAATATCTCTTTGTGCAACATGGAGAAATAACAGGACATCCAATTCCTGAGTTTGCATATAGCAGAAGCTGATGAAACGGTGTCATTTTCGACTATACAAAACCACATAAAACAGGCGTTCCTTTATTCTTTCACCCTTTTTGGCAGTACGGCCTTATTTATATGTACTAGCATTTCCAACATGTCTAAAATATAATAAACGTAATGATTACAAGATTTGTGTAAAATGTTATGGTATTTTGTCAATTGATTGGATACTTTTTATATCATGTTTTATATTGTATATTATCATGACTAAAGCAGCCAGTCTTCAGTGTCACATGAACCTTCAGAAATCATTCTAATATACTGATTTGGTACTCAAGAAACATTTATTATTATCAACGTTTATAATGTTGACCATTTTTTCATTCTTTCATAAATAGAAAGTTTGAAAGAGCATTTATTTGGAATCGAAATCTTTACTGTCTAATTTAAGGCATTCTTGCTAAATACAAATTATTAATCGTATTAACCCCAAACTATTAAAGTCCCCATGAAATCAAAATTGACCATACTTACTTTGTTTGCCTAAATTGATCATTTTGTGGTGAACAATTCATACATGCAAGTCAATCCACACAAAAAAATTTTTTGGCTTTGTAATCTTTAATCAAATTTTGAAAATGCCCCTCCCCTCTGCATTGGAGGACCTTGCCCGATGACGTAGGCTTTACGGTTTGGGTGTCTCCTTAACATCCATAACCACGCCCCTCCAACTGACAGCTGCTGTGTGTTTTTCGAGCGCCGAGTGAGCATTGATTGACAGCGTGTGTAAACTTGCGTCATCCTCCATTTCAGAATGAAACACCCATTTTTCTAGATCCAATCAGGTGCTAGTTGGAAAAAAAGCCACGCCCACTATTTTGCCTCATTTAGTATTCCGTTTCTCTCGGAAATATGTCACAACACTGGAGAAAAGTCGTTTGCAACTTCCGGTTCACAGGGCGCTAGTCTATTTCTTAAATATATTTAGTTATACATTTAGACACACTCTAAGAAAAGTTATAAACATAGGGCACAATGTACTGTTAATAAGAAGGAATTTTCTGTACTAGTTTTTCTGTATCGGTGTTTTAAATACCGATTCACAATTTTATCACAATTCATTTCATGTTGGTTTTACAACACTGAATAAAATTATAACGCAACACCCCCATTTTTCATGAGCTGAACTCAAAGATCTAAGACTTTTTCTATGTAAACAAATTCTATTTCTCTCAAATCTGTCTAAATCTGTTAGTGAGCACTTCCCCTTTGCCGAGATAATCCTTACAGATCCTTACAACATGGGGCCATGCATTATCATGCTGCCTGCAACATGAGGTGATGGTCGTGGATGAATGGCACAACAATGGCCCTCAGAATCTCATCACGGTATCTCAAAATACCCTCAATAAAATGTTTGGTTTTTGGACAACAAACCCGTGTTTGTTGTCCATAACATACGCCTGCCTATACCATAACCCCACCGCCACCATGGCCCACTAAATCCACAAAGTTGACACCAGTAAACCGCTCAACGCCATACACAGTGTCTGCCATCTGCCCTGTACAGTGAAAACCGGGATTCATCTGTGAAGAGAACACCTCTCCAAAGTGCCAGACGCAATCGAATGTGAGCATTTATGAACACAACACACCATGGACACACCGGCACAGACACCTACATGGACAGGGGTGTGGATACCGGCACGAACATGTCCGTGCCATTTACGACACGACACTGCAAAAAAAATTAAATTTGACTTGGTAACATGAGACTAAGTTATAGACACAGACACCGGCACGGACACAGTCACACTGGCAAGGACACAAGCCACCAGCACGGACACGGACGCCGGCCCCTGTAAGGACACACCGACACCTGTTTGGACAATGTGAATGTACGCTGCATTGTACAGTATGTTGGGACAGAGTTGCCAGAACTGCAACAGATAGAATACACTGTAAAGCACGATACTACGATATTTCTTCAAAAGCAGATCACGGTGACATTTTAACACCCCTACTTACAAGTACAAACAACTAAACTTCCTCCAGTACCTACCTATAGATAATCTTTAGGAATAGAAAAACTGAGGACCAGTTTGGAAACAATTTAGGTATTTTGTAAACAACCATTCGAACAATGTTTCGTGAGGACAATTTGCCATCCTTGTTCTACAGTGTTGGGAGTAACGCATTACAAAAGTAACTTTATTATAACTTTATAACTTTAACATATTACTTTTTGCTGTAACGCAGTAGTGTAAGGCATTACTAATCAATTTTCAGTAATATTTTACTCGTTACATGTTCAGTGAGGCTTGTATTACAGTGTATTGTCTGCTTTTACTTCTTAAAGGCAACAGACTATGTGAACGTTTTAAAGTAGTCTTTTAGTGCCAGTTCAGAGCGGTCGCGTCTGTATCATTGTTTTTTCCTCATAAATGCGAACACGAAAACTAAAATAAAATGAATATTTTAAGTTCTATGGAGACTGCAGAGCCAACCCTTCCTCATCCGATTTGCGCAGTGTAATTAACAGAATTACAAAAAAAATATTTTGCCTCCTATTTTTTTTTTTTTTGTCACGCATGAATGTGTGTCTTTTCGCTAATATGAAAAATAAAACATAGACTGATATTTGTCTAATGCCTGGAGTCCTTTAAGGAAGTAGCCTATATATGTTTCAATATATGTATTTTCTGAAATACAGAATTTTTATTTCAAGTTTTGACTGCAAATGTCATGTCCATAATGCTGGACTTCCCCAATTTTAAATGATTTATCCTCAACTAGTTTTGTGGTGTAGGTCTACGTATTTTATAATGTTAACTTCAAATAATACTAATAGCCTAAAGATAAGGCAGCATTGGATCTGGACGGTAAGGAGAATAACGCTGGAGTTGGAAGAGGTGTGTCGCGATTCTGTAGGTTCGTGGATCTGAGTCGTGTGGCGAATCGTGATTTCGGTTTCATATTGCATATCCTTACAGCCCAAAAGTTAAGTTCTACTTAGTTATTTTGGTGAAAGTAACTCAAAAGTAATACATGAGTAATGTAACGCATTACAATTCTGAGACAGTAATATTGTAAGGTAATGAATTACTTTTAAATAACAGTAACAAGTAATACCTAATGTATTACAGTTTGGAAGTAACTTGCACAACACTGTTGTTCTACCACACAGATGTTTGGAGGCCGTCTCGAGTCTCCTGTTGTAGCCCCAACTTGTCTTCGTTTGTATTAAAGCTATCAACACTTTCTAATTTCAACATTTAAGAGAAGACCAAGAGTGAAAATCCTATCCGTTCCCGCTTGTTTACCTAAGTGCAACAGCTGAGCGATGTGAGACAACAGCTGCAGGTCACATGTGTCATTTCTCTCAGTGTGCCACCACTAATGCAGGTGCTGAGATGAGATGACACACATGGCAGATGAGATGAAACAAGTAGCAGCGGCCTTAAGCTTCCATGAAAGAGAGACTGCGGCGAGAGAGATTCATGCCACTTCGTCAAAGCAATTACACCACTTCAAAACTATTTACACCACTTTTTGGTCTGAGGTCCAAGACCACCAACTATTTAAGTCATTTAACTGCCTGAAACCAAATGAGAAGCACAGTTTTGTGTGGGTGGAACAAAAAAAGAAAAAGATTTTTTTGTTGAACATGTTGCACTGTATCCAATTCTGATATAAATACTGTAAAATATTAGCTTGGATGCCAGCCCGAACCCCGCCCACAACATTTTTTGGTCGGGAAGTTCGGTCTGGACTCGGTTCAGAAATCGTCGGGCCACTTAAATTACCAGGGCGGGCTTTATACAATGATGGACAGATGATCCGCAGTTACGTAATCATCACGCTATCAAAGAGCGGTTGGGTTCAACTGGTTTCCCTCAAAGTTGATTACAGCTTGAGAATTGAGATGTATATATTCAGCTATCGCGTCTGTTGTAAAAGAAATCGACAGAGCGTTTTAAAAGACAGAGAACTGCAATCAAAGCGTTTGGCGATCGAAAAGATGTTTGCCGTCCTTTATACGGGATTCCAACACTATCTCACGACCAATTCGTACGAATTTGACGCATGATTAAAAAGTGTCTAATTCGTACTAATTCGTACGACCTCACTCGTACTAATTCGTACGAT